AAACCCTAAACCCTAAAAGGTACTTCCCCTCGCGGCCGGGTCCGCAAGGGGAGGCTTCTGTGAATATTTCTGCGTGGTGGCTGCCAGCACCTCCGACGGCTACTGGGGCCTCGTTGTTAGGGGGAACTCTAGGGTTCTAGACTAGGGCCACTCCATCAGCAGAAAGTCCACAGGCTTGTATCCATATAGATCTGCTTAAATGTTCAAGCTTCAAGGGCTGTTTAGGGCTTAGGGTTTAGGTTTAGGGTTCTGGAGTGGTTCTGGAGTAGGGCTCGTTTTTGGTAGTTTTTGAGTGTTGAGTACCCAAACGGGCTATTTCGTTCATTGCTGATTTAGTTAGTTCCTGTGTTTTCTCACCTAAAAACCCCTCATCACCCAAGGCAAAGCCGTAAACCCTACAGCCCAAAATCTTAAAAACCCCAAACCCCAAAGCCTAGGGTGTTACCCTACTTGTAACCCGACTTATCACTAATATAGGGGCCTTAATTCTTAGAATAGGGTTTGGGGTACATTATATTCGAATTATACTAAGGAACCCCCAAAACCCTAAACCCTAAACCCTAAACCCCAAAACCCTATTCTAATTATTACGGCCTCTCTAGGTTCCCCAGTAGTACCCTTTTGCCCTTTTTCTTTTTGGGCTCCCTTATTAAAACTGAGTTTGGGGTATATTATATTCGAGTTATATTAAGGAACCCCCAAAACCTATTCGAATTATTACGGCCTCTACCCCTAAACCCTAAACCCTAAACCGTCCATCCTATTCTAATTATTACGGCCTCGACATTACCCATGAACCTCCATGCACTTGCCTTGAAGAACAGCTCAGGCCGGAAGCCCTGCACCACGCACCTGGGGCCAGGTTACTCGTAGGCTCCGTGTATTCATATGGCTTGTACTTTGACCTTGAAGGGGTTCCTATCTATCTATCTATCTATCTAACTATCTATCTATCTATCTATCTATCTATCTATCTATATATATATATGTATATATATATATAAGTACATATTCATATATGTATATATACATATATATATATAAGTGTATATATATATAGATTTAGATATAGGTACGTTGCCTATAGTCTCCATTGTAGCTCCTTTTTGGATTTACCGTACTGCAATAGGATCTTAAAGAAATGAAGTTGGTTAAACCAACAAGGAACTAATTGCAATGGAGACTGCAGGTAAGGCCTAAGTCTATACTATAAGTGGGTACATGAAGCCTTAGATAACCCTAAACCCTAAACTTTAAACCCTAAAGCCTAAACCCTAAACCTTAACCCTTA